GTGGCCTTTCTCACGGTACAGCAGTGTGGGCGGTAGTGTCACCTGCCGGCCCCAATGGTTGAAGTTGAACTGGGTGGTGGCAGAAGTGAATTTGGGCAGGTGGGCTCCAGCCCTTCTGCTGACGGAACTCGAAGACCAGTGCCTGCTGTGTTAAACCAGCACAGCCAGCTCTGGGAGTGAGTCTGTCTGTCTGCCTGGAACCGTGGGCTCCTGAGAGCTGCAGCCTTCTTGGTGTGGGGCAATGGGAACTGAGGTGTCCAGTGCTTCAGCCTCTCCAGAAGCTTCAACTATGTCCCCTAACATAAGGCGAGGGTGGAGGGCGGGCTTTGCACTTTTCAGACTTGAAAGCCTCATTTGTTTGAGCCAACAACAGAATCAAAATTGTTCTGCCAAAAATAAAGGCAATAAAAACGGACCTCAGCTACTGAGCGTGAGTGTAAAGCTGTATCCAGAATGTGTGTCAAGCGCTGCCACGTCTGTAGTTTTCATTTCATGACCATCTTTCTGTTGTCTTCCCTCCCCTGGAAGGCAGCACTTAATGCTTAGATAGCGTAAGGTTACTTTGTAAGTAAGTTTTTACTTTTGCAGGGCAAATGCGAGAAGCAAGTACAGGATGTGATTGAACGATTTTGGGATTTCATAGACCAACTCAGCATCAACACTTTTGGTAAGATATGCAACCATCTGCTATGGGGTTTCCTTAGTTCGTGATGTGAACCTCTAAAACCTCGGAGGGATTTAGCTGCCTGGTTTTATTCACCCGTACGCAAGGGTAGCTGGTAGCTATGTTTCTTAGTGTGTGCCTGTGTATATATATGTATGTATATATAAAAGTATTTTAAGTTAGACAATATTGATCTTGTCTTTTAAAGCTGAAAGAATGGAGGATCATTTTGCATTTTCCCCCTCCATTATTTTCTAGGTATCTTCCAAGCTTGTAAAGAAGATGATAGTTTCTGGTCTGAATATCAAAAAGTAGGTCAATTAGAGAAAAAGAAACAGCAGTCATCTTAGAGGTCAGCTAAATTCAGCGTAGGATAAAGCAGGCTTCTTGGTGGCATTTAAATGTAACAGACCAGGAAAAGAAAACTTCATTTCTCTCTTATTTAAGAAGACTGTTGAGGTCCCACACCTGGGGCTGTGTGCCTGTGCTGAGCCACTGCCCAGCAGTTGTGAGTGAACCTCCTTGGTCTTGATCCCCACCTGCAACCCAAGCAGGTAGCCCCTCCAGCGTAACCCCCCAGTGCCTCACTCTGTCTTACTGGGACCACGCAAAACCTGTTACAAGCCAGTGCTGTGTAGCGACCGAGTAACTCCAACGGCTCACATTTTGTAATTATAATTATTATTACACAGTGTAATTATCTGGGTTTAGGGCTTTCAGTCTTGAGTTCTAGGATCAAAAAATTGTTTCTCAGGAAATTAACTTATTTAGCCTGCTGGGGTAGAGGCAGTTTGCGTGTCCTTGATGTTCAATATTTTGTTTGTGGAGGTGGGTAGTTATCACATGACCCTAAAATCAGAATTTGATATCAGACTCGCTGTGTGTCTTGTGTAATAGAGAGGGATGGCTTGGCCAACTCAATATAGCCCATTGCTAGTCAGCTGGTATTAAGTGTTACAGCCGGTCAGCATTCCTCCTCGGAGAAAGAGGAAAAACACCTATTACTGTTAATGCGCTGGATGCAATTTTCTAGAACGGCGTAGTTTCTTTTTTCTTTGCCAGTTCTGTGGCTTGGCTCACACAAGCAGTGGCTGCCGAGCAGGGAGGTGTGTGGGTGTGTGTTCATGAACTGGTGTGTGGTGGGTAACTAACAGATGTGAACTGGTTTCACAGGGAAGTTTCTCGCGGATAACATAGTGGGCTCCGTGCTTGTCTTCTCCTTACTTTTTTGGATTCCTCTCAGCATCCTTGTGCACTGTGTGGTGAGTAAGCTGTCTGTGGGATGACTGCTCTGTTGGACTGAGCTGCAGAACACCCTTCAGATCTGAAATAGCAGATGTCTGTGGGAGAAGGGGATGGGAAGCAGACCCAGGTGTGGAATCCAGCCTAGGTAGGACTCACAGCTCCTTCAGGAGGCAAAACTCCTGATAAACTCTGCTGGGCTCTGGCAGACCTGGTGCTCCCATGACTGTTCCCTGGAGCCCTTCCCATTCTTTCCTTGGTGGATTTTCTTACTTTGCCTCCTGAATTCTACTCACGTGTAATTTTGGTAACGTCCAGCAGAGTCAAAGATTTCCAAGAAATGACACCCACATTTTTTGGTGAGACCCAGAGCGGAAAGTGGTTTTGGTGGAGCTTGGGTGGATGTGTAAGGAGAGGGACGTGATGCTGACAGCATCATGGGTTCAGGGCAGAGGGTTGCTGTGCCCACAAGCGCTCTGGGGATGAACAGGAAGGCATCAGAAGCAGGGAAGGGAAAAGAGCTCTACACACTGGGGTATGGGATTAGGGACCTTGCAATCGGGAAACTAACTTTTCTTACTTTGTGCATGTCTTTTGGTTTGCTTTTGTTTGTTTTCCAATAGGACAAGAAATTGGACAAGCAGTACGAGGAGAACACAAAGTCCCTGTTTTGCCCCAGTGTAAGTTGCTGTGTGAATATGAATTGGGAGAAAGCTGTCCAGTGGGCATTAGAAGATCTCAGCCTGAGGGGTGTACAGAATATTTATCAAAGAAATTATAACAGGAGAGCCCTGGAGCCCCTGCCTTGCGCTGCAGATGGATGAACCAATCTGAGGGCAAACGATTTTTTTGAGCAAGCCTGAGACAACAAGCGCTGTGGCTTGGTGGGGTCTTGATTCTTCCTTCCTGTAAGAGCTGTGCCTTGCCCTCGTTGACAAAGCAGCTCCCTTGCAGCAGCTGCAGCTCCAGGGGCAGGAAGCCCCTCTGCTCTGCAGGCGCCTGCGGATGGGTCCCTTGTGGCACAGGCTATTTTGCAGCTACGGTCGCAGCCCCCTTGTTCCCAACCAAGTGGTGTCAGTGAAGCATGAGGCTCAGTGGGGCAACACTGCACAGAAATCTCCGCAAAACTGTGGTGCCTTTGCTGCAGAACGGTTGTTTGCAGGAGTCAGTTTCTAGTGGCCAGATGTGCTAAAGCCTTCGAGGTGCTTTATGGGACCTGTCGGTCATGTCGGTGACACTTCCCACCCTGTAGCTGCTGGGTTGGAAGGAGGGAAGAGCACCCAAGTGCATAAGTTTTTTAATTACAGGGCACCTTCTGACAGAGATTGAGTAGCCATCCAGCGCTTTGACAACCCAGTTCTTATTGATAACTTAAACATTCTGTTAAGGAGATGTTATTCTGAGGGGCAAAAAAGCCTTGCAGAGCTCTTGTACGACCGCTGGGGGAAGCGTGCTGAAGTCAGAGACTGCTCAGGCAGCTTGCCTGCATCTTCTATTCTGATGGAACTGAAGGTGATCTGAGTTTGAGTCCCCTGTAGCTGGTCTTGAATGCTGTATGGAAAGTCACCTTAGAGCTTTATACCTGAATTCAGTCAAGAAAATCCCAGAAGCACGTGTAGCAACAGAGCACGAGTACAGTTAATGGGCCTCTTGCACCAGCAACAGTTCAACAAATATTGTGTCTTCTGGACCTGCTGAGGATTGAGTGGTTGGGCAGTGTGGTACTGGTAACAGGTAGACATCTCCCCCTGCCTAGTATTAGCATTTGCTAAGGCTTAGGGTTTGTTTTTTATGCCCAGAAATGTCTGGCTATTTTCCAGACTATGCTCTAATAGAAGCAGAAGTCAAAGGGCTCTAACTCAACCTGGGTTGCAGAATTTGGGTGTGACCGCAGTGCCCCCTCCAGTCTTTGACCCTGCATTTGGTGCAGCCTCTTGCACGTGGACTGGTGGGAAGAGTGGGATGAGCTGTACTGACCGCTGTCCTGCACTCAGCTCTTGGTTGTTGCCTGACTTGAGCCTGAATCTTCAGTCCCAGGTTTTGCCAGAGCCATGCTGGGCCCAAGGGGAGGGTGGGGCCAATTTGTCAGCTCTGTCCCCCTCAGAGGCTGGCACCTGTGGGGCTTGGTGTGGATAAAGGAACAAGCAGAGATAAAAGGGACTTCTCTGACTTCAGTACCTAGTGTAGCTGGATTTCTTGAGGACAAAAAAAAGTTACTTCTGTCATATGGTTCCCTTGTTCCTCTATGTAAGTATAAACCTGCTGTGAAGGAAAAGGAATTTGAATCTCACAGTGCAGTGGGTTCAGCCTGGCACAAGGTGGCACAAGGGCAGTGGGCACATCTCTGCCAGGAGCAGGGACATGGTACGCTTCAAAATGTTTTTGTCAGAGGTGCGGGCGCTCCTCAGAAGGTGCTTGTTGCCTGTTCCCTTTGAAAACAGTGCAAAAACCGAACGCTGGTTGCTTCTGCCGGTGACGTGGCTGCTCGTGTCTTGCAGAACGTGGAGATGCTCAGCAGCCTGGACTCGGCCTC